AAAAAGGTGTCCTGAAAGTACGTCAGTAGATTCTGGATTTGAGTAAAAGTGTTACAAAAACCACATCTCACCAAGTGCATAATAAGCAACTTACTGTTTATTTATTGATACTTTTAGGTGACAGGTGAGTTATTTCTGGAGACTCAAACAGCCACTAACCTTCATCAGAAGACTCCAGTGTGCAAAAGTGACAAAATGCAGTTTTTAAAGGGCCATTGTCTGAAGTCAGTCAGCTGTAAACAGCAAGTCATGGCTTCGTGTAGTACTATTTTAAACAAACACTTATCATTGGGGAAGAATCTTTCATTGGTTTAAACTAGAGTTTGCATCCATTGAACTGTATGTGTTCCTTATAACAATAATAATAATAATATTAATAATAATAATAATATCATCATACAGTATATACAGAATACAAGATAAATCAACTGCAGTTAATGTTTATACATGCTTATATATTCCTGAAAAACAAATAATGAAAGCTTTATACATACAGTAAGGCAGAGAATATATACAGAACTAACCTAAAGGAAGTAGTATCAAACATGTGTCAAATATTCACACTGCAACAAAACAAAGAATTTAAAACATTTTGTAGTATATACAAAAATACTTAGCAAATGCCCCTAGGAATATCTTAATAGAAAAAATAATAGGAATCTTGTCAGGAGGACATCACATTATATTTGAAACATGCACTTGCCGCAGGGGGTTTTCACTCCAGCGGTGGGCCACATGTCTACGTGTTTTCTCGTTTTTGGGGTAAATGTAAATCACTGAGAAAAAAGCGGTTCGTGGTGCAGGGGTACTTGGTCTACTGTGCTCATTGGTCCTCAATGGGTGGCCTTCCTCGGCGGGAGACCGACAGTACAGTTCATTAATCTCGTTTCGACTTCACGCTTGCCTCTTGCCACGCTCGCTACACTTTGGACTCACTCTCTAAATTGGCAATGTCCCCGTTCCTCTCGGTCTTCTCACTCTTCCCCTGCTCGTCCAGGTTGGTTTTGGTCTCCTGACCCTCCTGTTCAGACTCTGGCAGCCCCTGCTGGCTCAGCTTGCTAGCCAGCGACCAAGTTAGGGGCAAGCGGGCGCGGTTGGCCATATCAGCGAGCTCTTTGGCACTGCAGGTGGGTGTGTCAGTTTCGTAGATGTCGTGGAAGCTGTTGTAGTCCACCTCGTAGAAGCCGTCCTCCAGCGTCAGGACGGGCGTGAAGCGGTAGCCCCACTTGATCTCACTGCTGACGTAGGAGCTCCTTGCCTGGCAGGTCATACCTGAAGAGACAAAACAAAGAAAACCATTAGAAACTGTGGCACTAGTGTAGTCTTAGCAATCTTTAGTCAAAATAGGAGTCCTAGTCTATTGCAATAATTTATCTTTGGCTGCAAGGCTCCAAAGAGCAGCAACAAACACAGAAAATCTAGCATTAAACGCATGGGGGTGGAGGTGGGTTGCAAAGGAGCTTGCAGAGGCAGCATCAACTTTATGTACGCTAAAGCAGCTTAAATAGCACGCTCCATCAGAGAACTTTCAGTACGAGGTATAGAGCGTATGGACTGGTATTATTGTCCTTTTGTACGACCCA